AATAATTGCCTTTATGTGGAACAAGAAAAGTCAAAGCGATATTCAGTGCTGCTGGAGATGTAAAACTAATCCTTAAAAAGGCACTTATGGCTGCAGGAGGCCCTGTATAACTCCATCCTTACCTCCTCTCCCTTGCCAGCTGTTCTCAGCTTTCCCAGATGCTTTCTGGGATGACAAGTGCAAAGCTAAGTCCCAGCTCCAGACAAATCTACAGCAAAACAGTTTACAAAGATTGCCACCACTGCATGGTGCTTACACAAAGGTTTTTCAAAATGGAGATGGGTAATATCCAGGTGAGTAAAAATAATGGATTAAAACTCACCTGATTTTGACAAAATAATCTTTAAAATTTTGCACCTAAACTTAGCATGAAAATCAGGACACCTAAGAGAGTCTGGCCTGGTGGCACAGGGACAATAGGTGTTCCTGTTAGCTGCACACAGGCACAGGGTGCCCAGCCCCGGGATGTGCCTCTGGAGGTGGCACTGGTCACCGGCCCCACTGCCCCAAAGCCACCCACGCTGGCGGGGCAGGCAGCGTGGCCACAGCTGGCCCTGCCCTGGTGGCATCTCAGCACGAGCTGGGCCAGGCAGTGCTGGCAGAGGGGCACCACAGACAGACTGCAGAACAGAGCAGGGGTGGCCACAGCTGTCCCTTTGGTGCCCCTGCCCTGGCAGTGTCACAGTGCCACACTGCCAGCTCCTTACAGCACGGCAGGCAGCCTGGGCAGCCAGAGGGGAGCCAGCCAGCTCCAGCCTTTCCTGCTCTCAACACGGTTATAAAGGCAGAGAGAAGAAAGGAGGATAACCTTAACATCCAGGGGGTGTGTATTTAGCAAACTGATTATTTATTTTCCTGCGCTATGGATGCCTCTGCCCCCGTCAAAGCCAAGATGTTAAATTTTCACAGTGTATTATAAATCATATACAAAAAGAAGAAAAGCAGTGACCTCGTGTTGTGTGAAGAGACACGTTTCGGGGGAGAAGATAAAACCGAGCCAGAGCAAAGGCTCGGTGCGTTAGGCACTCCCCCTCAGTTCACAAGTGCATCATGGACTCGAACTCGTCGATCCGCTGTTTGGTGTTTCCTTTACGGATCCTCCGGTAGGAGATTGTGTTGTACCTGGAATAGCTGTGTCTGGAGATGTCGTTCTTCTTCCCGAGGCCGGGCTGCTCCATCAGCGGGGAGTTGTGGCCGGGGCTGCCCGCGGGCTCGCCGCCGGCCGGCTGCTGCGGGCGGGGCGCGCCGCCGCTCTCCTTCTTCATTTCGATCACCTGAACTTCGTCCTCTTCGGTGTCCTCCTCCTCCTCCTCCTCCTCC